TTAACCAGGCATCAAGAGGAATCATGGCAGTTATGAGAGCAGCAATCTATCCAGATGAAAAGCTTATGCTTATATTTGGGGTTATAACTAGAGGCATTTAGATATTGTACATTTTATTAGTGCCCTCCTGATATCAAGCTTTCCTAAAATTTAGATTAACGGTACATCCCCAGTGAAGAGATATTGTCCCTCCCTCCACAAGAAGTAAGAGACCAGAAGTGACTCATTATGTGTTTGACTCAAAAAGCAGAAAATGCATAACTGAACAGTCTAAATACAGATGTCTACACCTGACCTGTCAGATCATGCTCTACACAAATGGGGCACAACTCCTCTCTAAAACAGACTAGATGAATTATGGACTCGAAGTACCTGCTTCTCTCTTCTGACTATAAAGAGGTGTGATGTGACATGTTTTATGCTGTACACCTGTAAGGATAAATAATGACCGTCAAGATTTTCCAAATCCTGGTTTGATCTTGGCATGCCGTGTAAGGATGATCAAGTTAACGACTGTAGGTTTCAGATCTCTGGCTGCATATTGTATTTCCCCTGTCCCTCTGCAGGACAGCTTGTGTGCATTGTCATTACATATCCAAATGAAAGCCATATTTTAATGGTTTATTTTTCTCTTAGTGTGTTCCAGAAATCCAACTGTTTTCTTTTTCTTTTGCTACAAAGGGCGTCTGAATGTCACCTGGCTCAAGCGCTAGTGTCTCAAGACACCATAGCCACTTGTAGAAAAGATGGATGGAAAAAGGCTCTAGGGCAGTGTCTGACATCAGATTGCTCTAGCAGCCCCACTGCACAGACTGTGACACTACATCAACCCTGACAGATGTACTTCAGCTTGTGAGCCCCTGGTTTGATTTCAGTCAGGTTGATGCCTCCCTTTACAGGCAGTGCCTTTGGTGGAGGTGATAATTTGAGAACTGCTGCTCCAGGCCTCATAAAGGTTTGAATTGAGCGTATACAGTCTTTTCCAGATTACTAGACTAGATAGTGACATACTAATCTAGTTTCCTTCTGCAACAGGATAACAGATGGGAGAAGCAGGAGGTGTCATATCTTGACTGGTTTTTATACTGACATGTATTCTTCTACCTAAGACAGAGAAACACAGTTTAGAGGAAACTAGCATGGGATGAGTACAAACTGTCTGCGAAGTCATTCACTAAAAGCATTTATCAATGGTTAGTTATTGAAATGAAAGGATGTATAAGCTAGGATTCCCCAGGAATCTGTGCTAAATTTAGGTCTTCTCAGTATTTCCATTAACAACCTGAACAAGAGAAGATAAATTATGCTTATTCATTACTGCAGATAATCCCATGCTAATAGAGTTTGCCAGCTCACTGGAAGATAGGTTTGAAATTCAGATTACCTTGACAAATTGGAGAAATAGTCTTAAAAGCAGGTGCCAAATCAAAACAGAGTATACAAAGTCCAGCACTTTCACATTGCACAAATACAGGCTAGGCAAGAATTGGTAAGACAACAGCCCTGTTTCCACAGGAGAGGAGCACAGACAGGATATAATCAACTACACTGCTGCATTTAAGTGAAAAAAGAAAGCTAACCCCAGAGTGGGATATATAAAGAGTCAGACAGCCTTCAGGAGACTTGAGTTGTCTGCTCCCTCACAGCAGCCAACTCTCAGCTGGAATACTGGGTCTAGTTTGAGATATGTCAAAAAGAGGAATTGGATGGAGTTCAGGAAAGAGAGGTTAAGAATTGTCAGAGGTCAAAAAAACATGACACCTATGGAGAAAAAGCAAAAGGATTGGCATGGTTTAGTCTATAGATGACTACAGAAAACACACCAAGACTTCCAACATGAAGGATAGTTAAACGCTGGCATAGATTGCATGGGGCTGGGAGGGGGGGGGGTAGTGGTGGGTGTGAAATCTCCATCCCTGTATCATGGTTTAAGTCCAGGCAGTAACTCAGAACCACACACCCACTTGCTCACCCCCTCCCAACCTCCCCTCCAAGGGGGGGGGGGGGGGGAGGAGAATCGAAAGAACGTAAACCACATGTGTTGAGAGAACAGTCCAACAATTGTTGGACAACACCCGCTGACTGATACCCAGCCTGACCCAAGCAGAAATCTGCCCTGCAGAGTAACTCCCCCCAGTTGCTATACTGGGCATGACGTGTTGTGGTATGGAATACCCCTTTGGCTAGTTTGAGTCAGGTGTCCTGTCTCTGCTTCCTCCCAGCTTCTTGTGCACCTCTGCACTGGCAGAGCATGAGAAACTGAAAAGTCCTTCATCAGGATAAGTACTTTTTAGCATCAACTAAAACACTGGTGTGTTATCAGCATTATTCTCGGAATAAACCCGAAACACAGCACTGCAACAGCTACTAGGAAGGAGAAAAAATAACTGTTAAAGCTGAAAGCAAGACACCCTGGATGTCTTTAGGAACAGGCTTGACAAATGGAAAAGACAGCGGGTCATCAGTGCATACGGAGAGGTTCATTGAGGTCCTTTCTAACACTGTTTTCTAGAATGCAGTCATTCTGCATCTTCTAAACATTCTGTTGTGAGTAGTTGTGTTTAGAGTAATTGTGCAACGACCAGCATTTCTCATTCAGCATCCTTGGAGCTGAATGAACCTGAGTTTTTTACTTGTTATAAATTCAGTAAGCCCGCTAGTTCTCAGAGTTCACTGCACTAAAGCTAAGGCAGTTAGACAGCCTGCTTTTATAATGCTTTCATTGCATAAATTTGCACAGCTGCTACCTAGAGTCTACACTATTGCTCAGCACCACTTTGTTAATTTGGAATCCAGATCTGGTGACTGATTTAGGAAAACAGTTCAGCTAATCCCTAGTGAATAGAAATCCTCAGCCTAAGATTGTATGGCTCACTAGATTCCCACACGTGCAAATGCAGCAGCTGCCTTGCAAAGGGAAGTTAAAATATCAAGCCCAAACGTTGGGGTTTTTTCATATGACATGCTTATTTTCCTTCCTCAGAGACAAGGGCTCCGAAAGGAAGGAGTAGAGATGATCACAAACTTTTCCAGTAGCCAACTTTTGTAGCAAGGTGGCAAGTGCACATACGTATTCTAGAAAGCTCCTTGAGGGCAGCAATTCTGGCAGTAGAACATTCAAAAATGTTCTGCTAAAAAAATTATTCTGCTAATTAGCCTCGTCTTGTTTCTTCAATCAGCCAATATAATTAGCATAAGTATGCATGTGATATCAGTAATCCATATATTTTAAACGATTTCCATATAGTTGCCTCCTGTGTGATAACACGTTCAGGCAGAGTACTGTAAATTGCAGATCCTCAGTGAGAGCTTCTGGGAAGTCATTCATTGTTATGGGAAGCCCCCTGTGCAGACCCCTTCCTGCCTGATAGGAAGCCCTGGATTGACCCACAATCTGTTGAGCTTTGGGAGACTACACAATGCTGATTTCTTCACTCAAACTTGGCATGAGGTGAGCATGCAGCTGATTTTCCTGGGCGGTTGAGACAGGCCAGTCAGTGAGACACATATTACAGTACGTATACTGTACCTGCTCCTGCAGTAGCTGTCCACATTTAGAAATAAATGAATAAATGTAATGAAAATAACCATTTTAATTATGACAACAATGAAAAGCCATTTCTTCCTCCAAATTATTTTGAAGATAACTGCTCTCAGATAAGTCCTTTAAGTAGCACTGTGTAAGTGAATGGTTCTAGTGCAGCTGAAACTAGTTTTTACTGAAGACAAGCACAAAACTTCCACCTACCCATACTCATGAGAATATCCCTCACCTACAATTCTTTCTATCATCATATTACTTACAATATGAGTTTTGAGAGCATTATGTACATTGCCTGGTTATACATCAATTTATATATGACCCTGGATATCTCAGACCTATGCTTCCCTCTTCTCATTCTTGCTATGCCCTCCCACCCCACTTTCCCCTTCCTATACTTTCTTCCAATGTTTCTGAAATTTCTTGTTTTTCCTTCCAAATGAAGTTACATGGGATTAACCTTGGAGGTTCTTTTCAGCAGACTGATACTTCTCTCCTATTCTCAGGAACAAAGAGATTTACTTATACACTAATCTCACCTCCTGCCAATTACAAAATGGAGTGCAGTTCTCTAACAGTGCAGTGCAGGACACTAGACCAGAACAGCTGAAATCCCTTCATTGGAAGCTGGATATCCTTGTCCAGGTTACTTCCTAGTAAATGTACATTTACAGGTGCAATGACAGATCTTTGATATAATGCCTAAAAAAAAAAGAATGAGGCTCAAAATCTAAAGCTACTCAGATACTTACCTCCTATTACCCAATGAGAAATATCTAAATAGGAGTCAGACACCCAAGGATCCCAGATGACATTTGGGGATCCGGGCCTACAGTCCCATCCGAGCTCCCCAAGCACCAAGTAACTCAGGATGTTCTCAGGTGGGTGAGATTTTCATATGGAAAACTTTGCCAAAGTTTCTGATCCAAATGCACTTCTGGACAGTGAATTAGGTGTTGCTGCTCCCTCTCCCAAAAGCTGTATCAGAAATAGCCAATGTGTTCTAGAAATGGTTGTGTGTTACAGGTAGAAAGCAAGGCTCTATACAAAGATGCATTGATTGTGTTAACTTACAGTTTTTGTAGTATCACACATAGTTGAGTCACTTGAACTGTAGTAAAAGCCAAGCTGTCTTTAATAAGGTAACTATTTTGTGATGAGCAAACACTTTCTGTATATCATTTTACACTGAAATTCTTTTAACAACTAACAAGATTTCTTATAACATTTTGTAGTTTTATCTGTCTTGCTTACATCCTTAGGCCATCCTGGCTATGACGTGAGTATGACATTTTATAAGCATGCTACAATTCTCCATAATCACTGTAAGTCAGTATACAGAATAGATGGTTTCTGGACTCCCCAAAGATTATCTTATCCACATAAGTTTATAAGCCAAGTAGGCAACATACAAACAAGAACAGGGTGTTACAGCTAATAAAAAGAATTTTAAAAATACCTGTTGAAGTGAACAAATGCTGATCCTGAGGGGACATTCTTCTCTTTTAGATGTTTTTCCCCACAATTTTATGTTTCTTTGTGGGGAAGAATGACTGTAATATGAGGAAAAAAAAAAAAAAAGTGGTACAGTACCTGTAAGCTAGATGCTACCACATGCAGACTTCAGGGACCTAGCCTCTAAAGTAGGATACAAAGTCCCAAATCAAGTGCTTCAATTTGCTGTGAAATGCATGAGAAAATCTGGACTCTCAGAAGAGTGACAAATACTCAGTTGCACATTAAGTCATGCAGAGTAAGGTGATACAATAGGCCAGGTGTGTGAAGCTTCTGAAATCTGATTTCTCTCTAGAGTTTACACACCTTGAAGCAACCACTCAAAACCAGTCTGAAGCCTAGGCTGGAACCTATGATTGTCCTTAAGCACTGATCATTGCTAGCATGAGTGAGCACCTCAGCAGGAACACTACTATTACTCTTGCATGTTGCAGATCTCCCTGGCCCCAAACACGTCATTACCCAAACTCTTTTCATTTGTATCTATGCAGACGTTTCTCCATATATTAGCCCTTTAGTACGCTAATCATTTTGGTTACTCTTCCCTGAATTCCCCCTAAAGCACTTATTAATTTATGATAAAGAAGTAATATTAATTAATCTGTTAAAATGAGGAAATAGACATTCAGATGTATGCAAAGAAACATTTTTTCTCTATTTACTCTTAATTTACATCTTTATGAGTCAAATCCCCACTGTTACATTGTCAAGTCAAATAGAATTTCACTGGTGATTAAAATTGCACAAAACACACACCTTTAATGAATTTGGTCTGCTAAATGGCTAAGAAAGAGTATCTCTAAGCAAAAGTAATGAATAAAGTATTTTTTCAGAGACACCGGCATTTCAGAGTGAAAGCAATTGTCAATTTCAACAGATGAGTATCAATACTGTTGATAACTATGTATAACTCTATACAGTAAGTCTATTCCCCTGGAACTGTTGTCCCACACTTACGGGTACATGAGGTACTCCAATAGGTTTCAGCTTGCTTGGGAACCCTAAAAGGCCACAGCTGAGATGCAAATATAACTCTGCTTTTAAAAAATAATTAAAAGGAAAAAAAAAAAAAAAAAAAAAAAGAAGTTCATGAGAGTTTTGGGTTGGTTTGTGGTGTTTTTTTTTTCCCTTTAATTTCCAGCCGACGGGCCCGATTCTGCCACCACAAGGGAATGGGCAGAACAAGGGCTGCTAGAGGGAGCACGCCGGGTCACCACCGAGCTGGGGGGAGCCGCAGGGGGTGGCGGAAGGGGAGGGGAAAAATCCCCCCAAAACAAGGGAGCAGACCACATGGTGTATCAGGTGCAGCCGCAGAGAAGCCAGGCGGGAACGAGGTTATCTATCTGCCGCCTTTCCGAGCTCTAGGCTAGACACTGATTTTTACGTGGAAGAGATGCGTGATGGGTCAAACAGACAGTAGGGCAGCCCCGTGTTACCGGAGAGCGCGGAGAGGCGGCGGGTGGCTGTGAGGAGCCCGGAGCGAGCTGCAGGGAGAGGCCGGTGCCAGCTCCCGCACGCCGGCCCTTCCCGCACGGACCTTCAGCCGCGACCCCTCGGAGGGGCTGTGGCCGAGGCAGCGGGTGTCCCCCCCAGTCCACCCCTCCGCGGCCCGTGCCCTGGTGCGGCGGCGGTGCCACTGTCAGCTGCCCCCGTGCCTGTCCTGCCTTCCCTGTCCTGCCTCTCCCCTGCCCGGCCCGGCTGCTTACCCCTCCTGGAGCTGCCTTCTCACCGCCTGCCCACCACTGCCCCAGCTGTCCCAGCACCATCCCAACTGTTCCGGACAGCCCCCGACTGCCCTAGCACTATCCTAACACTCCCGCGTTATTCCAGCACTGTTCCAGGACAGTCCCAGTACCATCCCAAGATGTCCCAGCACTATCCTAACTTCCAGGACAGTTCCAGCCTGTCCCAGCACTACTCTAACTGATCCAGCGTTATCCCAGCACTGTCCCAGGCTGTGCCAGGACAGCCTCAGCACCATCCCAACTGTCCCGCCATTGCTCGAGCACAGTCCCAGAGTCCCAGCACTGTCTCAGACCCCCTGAGGATCCATCTTCCTCCCACAGATCACCCGGGTGGCCTCGCGCGAGGCTGGACCCCGCGTACCACTGGCCAGGCAGCACGACAAGGGGAGCTCGTCCAGCACACCCCTAAATGACAGTCCCAGAGCCACGGGCAGGGTTGATCGTGCCCCGGGACAGCCCACGGCCGCTGCCACCACGACACTGATGGGAGAAGGAGCTGAGGGCTCTGCGGATGGAACCCTCGGGTAGCTTCGCAGCCCAGCTGTCGTGTTCATAGGGTTGTGGGCGCGGGGAAACGCCAGCAACTCTCCAGCTCCACCATGGAACTCCGAGCACTGACAAATCTGCAACTCGGGTGTCAAGTTTGTAGAAAATGGCCGGACACAAATCTCTTTCGCATTTTTCTCCCGAAAAATAACTAAATAAACAAACAAATAGACAAATAAATATTCTGGGCCCAGGAGATAAATGACTATATCTGGTGGTAAATACTGACCAGCAGCAGCAGCTTGGAGGAGAATCACCCTCACACCACCAACGTTTTAACTGCAGCGTTTAGAGGAGAGGAGGGGAAACGCTAGATCTTGCGAGTCGCAACCGCCTGCACGCCACTGGCCTCACTGGCTCCAGTGTCTGCGAGGAAAAGATAAGAGGCTGGTGCAGAGGAACAATTAAAACAAATAATAATAACGAAGAGGCACTAACGACTTGGAAGCAGCCGCGGCCCCGCCGAAGTGCCAGCCCCGGCTGGGAAGCGCAGCGCAGGTGTCAGCGGCGGCGGTGCCGGTGCAGCGCCCGGTCCCTCTGCCCGATCCAAGGCGGCCAAGGGGACACGGGAGGAGCGGGGGGAAACGCACACCGTCCTCATACGGTGAAAACCAGCTGCCCCGCGGGGAAGCGTGAGGGCACGGAGAGCGCGGCTCGGCGGCACCGCGGCCCACGGGCCGGGCGGGGGGCACGGCGGGCTCCCCGGGGACTGGGGGGGAAGACAACGCCGAAATCCCCCCAGACACAGGCGGTTCGATTTCAGCGGAGCGGCGTGGAAATTACTGTCATTCGCTAACAGGTCCTGAAAGTCTTTCTTGCGTTCCAGGCAGCCAGAAGTTACTTTTCGTGTCATTCCCGCCGCTGTCCTCCCGTATTTCCAACATACCGGAAAGTTTCCATCTGAACAACTTGAATATTTTCCAGTAACTACTCATTTTCCCGGAAGCCAGAACTAGCTTGGGAAGCAGCTCTGAAGCGGGCTGCCAGGGGCTCCCCGCCCCGCTCCGCCTAACCCAGAGCGGGTGTAGGCATGGCCCCGGAGCCGGGACCCCCCCGCCTCACCGGCACCGTCCGAGAGCAGCACGGGGATCGGGGGCTTCCTCGGAGGAGCGAGAAACCCAATAGAAGCAACCAAAGGGCGGTTGCATTTGGGGGAAAAGAATGAAAACAGAAAGGAGAGGGGAAAAAAAAAAAGAAAAAGAAAATAACAAAGAAGAAAAATAAAAAGGAAAAAATAAAGACCACAAAAAAAAAGTTGTTCCTGCTTTTTTAACAGCCATATCCCAACTCTTTCCGACTCTGAACTTTTTTCCTTAATCGCACTGCTTGCCCTTCTGCTGAAAGGAGGTGATTCTTCGCTTCTTTCTATATTTTAAATAACTCCTGATGTGTCGGGAGAAATAAAAGTACCAGCAGACACACAGCGAGCGGAGGATTTGTGTTTGGTGGTTTTAAAGACGAGATTTTAAGTTGCTTGATTTAATTCTGCCAAATAGGAAGGTAACAGTTGTCTGTAGAGCTCAAATTACCTGAATTTACACCCAAATCTACGAGAAGTTTGACAAGAGACAATTCTGATAACCCCGGTGCCACTGAGGTGGGAGAGGGACTTGGGGGGACGCATAAAAACATGGGTTTGAGGATATCCCCGAGGAAAGGGGTGTCCGAAAACGGGGCGCCGAGAAACCTGACATCGAAGGGATGAGAGGGGTGTTGAGTCTGGCACGAAAGCGAGCCGTCATACTGAGATTTAGTTATTAGCAAGGCAAATCTTCGGACTGGGGAACGAAATGGGAAGAGAAACTTAATATCCGTGACTGGGGAGGAGAAGTGAGATTCCCGGGCCCCTGGTGCCCGGCAGGCACTCTCCGGGCAGAGCATTTCTGGGATGACACCCCCTGCTCCTGGCCAAAGCTCTGAAATAATTAAAGTTTAAAAATATATATATATATATGTGTGGAAAAAAAAATCGGGAAAACACAAGTCGTCGCTGGAACACCGCTCTCCAAACCCAGGTTACTGTATTTCTTTCGCTAAGATCTGTCATTATTTGCTGTATGTCCTCCGACTAGTCAATCATAATGAGCAGGTTTTAAAACCTCCATTAATTTACACAGAACGAAACCACTTTCCAGCCACGCTGGAAAGAAGAAGAAAAAAATAAATGGGGGGAAAAAAAAATCCAAAACCTCTATTCAATTAAAAATAACGATTTTGTTCTTGGACAGCTACCAGGTTTTCGCTCTTACCATCCCGGGACTTTGATTTAAGGTCGGTAACATCCTGTAAGGCTACAATCCTTCCGCATCCATTGCCATGGTGCCCCGCCAGCTCAGCCCTGCCCTGCCAGGCAGCACGGAGCTGCCCGCAGCCTGCCTGCACAGCAGCTTTGATCGCAGAAAAGAACGTGATGAAGCGCACGGGGTTCATTAAGCTTTGCAAAGATCCAGTTGGTACGAGCAATAAAAAAACACATCCCGGTATTTAGCGACCTGGTTGCATACGCTGAGTATAGACAACGGGGTCTGAAGAAATAATGAAGAAATTATGCGGCTTTAAACACACCCAAAAAAATGTTTCCAGAGCGAAAAAGAAAAAAAAAAAAATAAATGTCCAAAATACCTCAGTGGGGATCGAAAAAAAAAACCAGAATCTTCGTTTTGAGGCGCAGAGCACGTCCGTTCCCTCCACAGGTTTCCCAAAACCCCGCTTTTCGAGCCCATTCTGTGGATACAGAGGCTACAGGGAGGGGGCTCGCCCCACCGGGGCTGCCCGGGGAGGGGGCGGCGGGTCCCGGGGCCGCCTCGCAGAACCTGGGGGCTTGCAGCCTGGGGAAGCCGCGGGGCTCCCGGGGAACTCCCGAGCAAATCCCTTCCCAGCGGGATGCCGGAGTCGCTCCCGCTTCGCTGGAAAGGGAGCCGCACCGTGTCAGCCCCGGCACTGCCAAATCCCTTCTCACCCCCCCCCCCCCCCCCCCCCCCCCCCGCGCTTCCTCCCCCTCTTCTCCTCCCGGGCTGTATCGGATTTTTATCTTTTTATTTATTTATTTCACCCACCCTCAGCACAAACGCCTTCTCCCCCGCCTGCGACATCTGGGGCTTGTGAGCAAGGAGAGCTCTGAAGCGGCGGTTACCACCGCGCTCTTTCCGTGACACCACGGGGGAATTTTGCGGGTTCTTTGAAATAAAATAAAATAGAATAAAATAAAACAAATGATACGGGGAAGGCGCTGACTCCCTCTGGAGAGGGTTGGCAGCACCCGCCCAGAGGTGGCTGCGCCACCGTGGCTCGTCCCCACGTCCCCCCGAGTCCAGCTGCAAACGCAGCTGGGAGGGAACGGGGCTTGGCGAGGAGCCACCTCCCCGCCGAAACCAGCCCTTCCCCGAGCCCCAAACCCAGAGCCGGCGTTTTTCCGCCCCGCTCCCCGCCCAGGGGCACCGGGATCCGCTTTCGATCGCTGGTTCCAAATTTCGCTTAAGAAAGGAGACTGAAATATCACTACTGGGGAAAAACGCACTGCTGCTAAAAGTTTAGTAAAGAGCTTCAAATCAACTCCCCACCATTGTTGGTACATAGGAAATACATAGGAAATAAGATTTAATTTCTCTGACCCATTTTGAAATGCGGGGTGTTGCCGTACTTGGCCAATAAACCCCTAAAAGTTTGCAAAAAAGTACGAGGACTAATGATGATAACACCAGAAGCGGCGCTTGGACTGGTGTGTAACCCCGGCAAACGCCTGACGAGAAAATCCAGGCGCTTGGAGCCGTTTTGTCGTTTTACTTTGCTGTCAACGGAGTGTCGGTAAATACGAAGTGAGAACTGGGGGAGGAGAGGGCAAGGGAAAGGTATCCAGGGCTTCTCTCCGAAAAGCAATGTTGGGCTTTTTTGAGGTCATTTCACCTCGATTCTTTCGTCATTTCAAATATAAAACCAAGCTGGCTGGGTGGTTTCCACAGCCCGTCGCCTGGCTGGGGCAAAGCGGTAACTCCGCGTACGGTTTACTTGAATCAAGTTGGTAAAACGCCCTTGGTTCTTCCCCTGGTGCCGAGCGTTAAATAAAATGTCGCGCTAACCGTCCGAGCTGGATTAAACTAAAAGTATTGAGAATGTGGACATTGGGAGCTTAATCGTTGCTACTTTCATATTAGATTACAGGAGGAATATGGAAAGCTGTTTGGTAAGGTTGTGATAGGAAATACAATTTCCTTCGCTATCTTAAGAGCAATGTGCAGCACGTAGTAACTTTTCCCTATAAGGCATCTATTGCCCTGTGCAGGAAACAATCGGTAACCCTGCGGAAAATAAAGTATAGCTCTTAAAAACTTGGGAAAAGAACCAACTTTGTACTCCGTTTAAAGTATCTTTTCCCTTCACAGACCAGCTGGTAAACCAGCCCCGAGGCAGACACACTGCTCTGCCCGCAAACCTGGGGGAAACAGCACCCAAAAACTAAACAAGAAAAAGAAAAACCCAACCAAACCCAACCACCCCCGAAGGCGGAGGCATTCCTGCCGGCAGAAGTGAAACCGTCTCGATACAGGCGGGTTTATTTGTAAACCCGGGAAGCGGCGGGGGAAGGGAAGGGAGGGGAGAGGAGAGGGGGCGCCCCCGGGAGCGCGGCCGGAGCCGCCGGGGCCGGGGCTGCCGCTGCTGACTCGGAGGAGCGATGTAGGTCAGAACGAGTTCCCTCAAGTTACCCGAGTTCGAACAATTCAGCTTTTCTTTCGAGGCTCCCAACGTGCTGTTGCAACGCTCCTGAACTCCGGGGCTCCTGCCGCGGTTCAGCCCCCGGCTCTGAGCGTCTCACCTCCTGCCCCTGCCCTCCCTCGCCACTGCCAGCACACCCTACGTTCATTTATTTTGTTAATCTTTTATCTCACAGACGTGGGTTTGTTGGTTTTGGTGGTGTTTTTTTAAAAAAAAAATTTGTGCCAGCGCGTCACACTCCCCATTTTTTACTAGATTTAGAGAAGCAGCAAGCGAATCGCCTGCCTACTCCCCATTCTGCACGGCTTCTTCCAGGAAGGCTTATTCAAGGCTCGTAGTTTGGATCTATTCTTTGTTACCACTAGTTACTACTTTCCACCACCAGTCAGTTTTTACACCATCACTTAAAGAGCTATTAACAGAGTTCCCTCTGGCCACGGGTTTTGTGCGCAAAAGATGTCAGTCTTTTGAGCGACACGGAGAAATGTCCGTCTTCCAAATGGGCGATTTTCGTTATTTTATTTTTTGTTCCTCCTTTATTTTATTATTTTTATTTTTTTTCCCCATAGCAGAGTGGGAGGAGAGGAGCCGCAGTCCACACGGAGGATGAGCAAGCGCCGTGTCCTGTCGCAAGAACAGCGAAGCGGGACTGAGACCTCGCCGCGAAGCGCGGAGCTGCGGAGGAGAGGCAAGCCCGGGATGAGGGGACTCTCCAGGACAGGAACCGCATTCAGAGACTGGATTTTAACCCATCGGAGCTGTTCCCAGCCGTTAACACCGCTCCCCAGCGCTACAGCAGGCAGGGGCCGTGAGCGGGTTGAGGACATTTCCGAGGGACTCCCACTCTCCCCCAGAAAATTATCACCAGGAAGGCAGCCACTGTCACGAAGCACAACTAAGAGGGGAAATCATCCGCCCATACATTTCACAAAAGCGAGCAGTGGGGGGAAAAAGATAACCCAAAACTCGTCCCGACCGAGAGCTCTATTTCTACCGGGCATACGCCCCGTGTGTCCATCGCGGGTGTTTGGGGCAATCGCACACCCAGCGTCGCAGTCGCGCAGGCTCCCAGTCTTCCCCTTCCCTGCCGTTGCTCTTCAGCCCCGGCCGTGGTGCCAGCGGGCGAGGACTTCCCTGTCTAAACATAGACGGTTTCGCCGTCGGAGCAGGATCCCCGCGAATGCTTCCCCGAGCAACAGCACCAGCGGCCCCGCCGAGCACCGAGGCCGGAGCCGGGAGAGCTCGGGCAGGCTCGGACAAGCCCTGCCCCGGCCTCCGCCCGCCCGGGGCACGGCGGCTCTTCCTCCCGGGGCGGAAGGGGCCAGCCCTCGCTCTCAAAACAAAACCCTCCCCCCCCCCCCCCCAAGACGGGTGTTGAAATCAAAGAAAGAGAGAAGACGGTGTGTCTGTGTGTTGTTTTTTTTGAAGCTCACTGCCCTGCCCGGCCCCGCCGGCGGAAAGCACCCCCAGCCCCGCGGCATCCAATGGCGGCGGCCGGGGGGCCCGAAGGCGCTCTGGACGGGGAGAGGG